TTGCTTTTGTCATCACTTTTTTTATTAAAGCAAATAATGAAATTATCCTTTATTTTTAATAATAGCCAGTCTGGTTCTACTCTAATCTATTGAATCGCCATCATGTATGTAATAAACAATATTAATATAGCTGCTCTGTATGAAATAACTGTTATGTAGGCTAATAACTGATTTACTTCCCTTAATTTTAGAGCAATTATAAACTCATTAATAGGATCTATCACAATGACCTAGAAAATATCCTTACAGCTGTCTTGCTTAAGCCCAAGGCAATAGCGAAAGAATTCCTTTTCCAAATTTGGGCATAGTCATTTTAAGGCAACATTGCATTTTTCAATTTATCTGCAAATTGTTGAGCAATAACATAACATTTTTTTAAAATATAGAAAATAATCAACATTTTTTCTATTTTTAGTTACAGATGCAAAATTTTATGTCATATGTTCTAATTGAATTTTAGGGGTCTACTACACAGGTGTAGGAAATATATTTACACTACAAAAGGCCAAATAATAGGTCAAAAGAAAGGATTGATTCTGAGCCTCACCCTAATTTTGTCAGCATTCAATTTGAATCTTTGCTATATGTTTTTCTAAATTTTCAAAATTCACCAATTTTTAAGCCACAATTTCTTAAAAATATAAACATTCTTGCATTTTTAAAAAATAGTTGGGTGCATAGTTTACATTTAATCTTAACAAGGAAGTTAATTTATTGTGCTCAATTAGGATGGTACAGACTAGAGTATTAAGAAGCACGCTTCAATTATTTACACATCAACACCAATCTCTTATCATGCTTCCTTCTCAAATGGCACCTACGGTAAAGAGAATGTGAATTGACCTGGTAGGAAGACAACAAATAAACACTAAATTACTATTAGCTAGAGAAACTATTGTAGACCCTCAACATTGTTTCTAATCATTTTGCTTGTCTAATGCTTGGTTATCATAAATATAAGAATGTCTTTCTTAGAAATTGAATTTATAAGGTTGCCAGCAAGAAATCTGATTATTTTACTTCTAATTTTTCATCTATTGTTGTGTTGGATAAAATTTTGTTGAGTAAAATTTATGCTCCGTATTGAGAGACAATGTTATCTTGTTAACACTATGACCATTGATAATAGCGGTGAATTCTATGGATCCCCTGCGATACACAGCATATCATGTTCGTTATTGTCTATCATTTTTCTTATTGGAAATAAATTGGAGTTGAATCCTCCACTTCAGTTGACCCGGTGTCGTCCTTGAGAGATAGTCAATTATAATGGTGATGAGAGTCCATTAATTACATCAATGACAAAATTCTGAGTTTGGTACAACAGTACAATCGCCTACTTCAATTTCAAACAAGTGGCTATTATGCGATGCATTTACATTTTATGAACGATATTAATAGAAATTTGTTTTAGTTGCATAGATTTTGTTTGCACGCTAAGACCAGACCAAGTTGTAATTCTGTTTTATCCTACAATAGGGAGGATAAGTTTGATGATATTAGCAGATATGTAATCATCCCTGTACATTTTATTGACTTTAATATGTCTTTTTATTACCCTGACTTTTCTGGAAACCTTTCCTAGCACCTTGGGTGATAATTTAAGCAGGGCCACTGTTTTTCACACCTTTCTTTCTCCCGCTTGATTGCCTATGTGCACGCATAATTGCACATCTGAAAATTGTGCATGCGTTACTGTGGACATGCGTAAAGTATTTATCTTATAGTTGCGCTCCTAAGTGCACACGTTAAGTAGTATGTTCTGAATGTGTTATTTAGGTGGGTTTACTATGTGTTTTTTCATATTAATATCATCATACTTCATCAGGAAATGTTAAATGTCGAATAAAATAGTTTTATAATAGCAATCTGCCCCTTGCTTAATTGGAACACGTTTGAAATTCTGTACTATTTTATTTATTTATTTTTTTAAAGTGCTGCTTTCAGAAATAAAAGCTAATGATACTTTGTTGTTGTTTTGATGTGGACATCTGGGCATAAAGCTTCCTTGTCCTTTTACCCTAGTTAAGCCAATAATGCTGAACACGTCTTTATTTGCAAGGCTTTGAATACTGCCTTCACATTGCCAATGCATGAAGCTTAAATTAAAATGTATTCTGTTTGCACTTTCCTTAAATGATGTTTGTAAAATATCTTCTTCCATGCGATGCTTTCTGCACAGTATAGTTTGTAAATCAATACAAGATATGAACCAGTCAATCAATGACTTGGCCAACATGAATTCCGTCAATTTCCTATGCCTGAAATCAATGAATTGCAAGCAGCAATTGTAACTTGTAGTTGTATCAATCATTCAGAAATCACAAATAATGATTGGCAAAACAAATGGAGAAAATAATTATAATTGTCTTGTCCCCTCCTGCATCAGATTTTGGCACTGTTACCTGCCCCCCCCCCCCCCCCCCCCCCCCCCCAACACACACACACACATATGTTTTTTTTCACTTTCATCATGAGGCAAGACTCCAAAATATTCTCCCAGATATTTAACAAGAAATTCTTTTCAGGAAATAAGTTGCTACAGTAGTCTTGGTATAGGCAAAGATATGTAATAGTGTGTCTGTTGTGACCATCGTTATATACAAAGTAAAGAGAAAATATGGTTGGTCCTTCCTGGATATATTGAAGAATTGCTACACAGTAGATGAGGAAATACAAATGAATCATCCGTTCGTTGTGACTGAAACAATCAAACTAAATCAATCCTGAACGTTCAAAACAATTCCCTCTTAAAATATTTTAATTATATGCTAATTTATGCGTTGAGTCTGCTGTCAGTTGATTTATGTGGGATTGTGTTGCTTCCTAAATGTTTCATTCCAAAATAAACATTTGAAGTATATATTTGGAATGCTAATCAACTGCGGATTTGTTGTGATAGTAACTCCTTATTTATATTTATAGCATGTAATTAAATAGAATGTTAGTAGTGCTATAGTATTTTCCCTATATTCACAAGCAGGTTAGTAATGATACAAGGTGTAGGCCTACAATATTATAATTTTTGTAATAACCATTTTGCTAACCATAGAGGTAATCGCATAATTAACAGATCTGTACTCATTTTGTCATGTAAAGGAATTTAAAATATGCAGCATTCCTAATAATACCTGCAACTCATTTCTCTATTATTATCGATAGTAAATATTGCCAGGAAATGGTCGCATTTCTCCAAATGTTGAGGAAATAATTATGCAGGATCTCGAACATTAATTGGAATTATTATTATTGATAGCGTTTAATGACCATCTTGCATTTGAAAATTCTGACAACTTATTCAAAGTTAAATTTTGCTATGCAATTACACAGGGCTGTCAAATTTCTCCAGATTTTTAATTACTTGAATTGATTGGCTTTCAAGAGGCTATTTAGTCCCAATTCATTGTTAGTGCTATTGTTGATACTCACACTCAAGGTTATTAAATTTCACAAAGGTTTATAAAAAAAGAAAGAAATAATGTCCTTATTTTAATCTATGTTTTATGTTGTAACAAAAGCTTAAATTATATTGAAATGCGACTCATGAATTATTTATGAGGAAGCATAAATACCAGTGTTTCGTTCTAGGTTATTCCTCTTTCAAGAAATATTTGTCAGAAACCGCATTCACTGGCAAAGCATCATGCTTGATTCAGAATTTTAAATACTTGTTTTGTTGTAGTCAAACAGAAGCCCTTTCTTCCATGGTCCAATGGATCAAAGGACATAATAGAATACAGGAACTGTTCAACCTGAAATCTTTGTCATTTTCAGATTAGGAATTTGTGTGCTAGTTACTAGATTACAACCATAGCAGCCCATAATATAATGCTCAACTTTGTATTAAATAAGTCATTCTGAGCCTATTTAAATTTTACCAGCTGGGAAATGTAATAACCTCAAGTCAAGTGGGTTATATGAACTTGACACCATTAGTAACTGAACCAGTCACTTAGGAGCCAGGCTAGTGCAAAATGCACTTGGCCATAAATTCCATGTTCATTTATTATACATTTTCATATTAGTATTAAACACCATACTTTCAAATGAATAACTGGCAACTAATTAAGAATCCATGATGTTTTGATTTTAGTAATATTAGTATGACAGACTGTCATTTTTATATCTTAGCAAAAGATTCATGTACATGTTGTACAGTATGGAGCAGACGCCATACAAGCTCATCTCTTATGATTATTTTATTCATGATCGTCATGAAATTGAATTATTAGAGTAGCATGATTAAAGGTGGAGGTCAGTCAATTAGTTTGATTTTTAAATAATTGCAGTAGAACCCTTTCTTAAAGGGATGTTAAAAAGTCTCCTTAAAGGAGTATCCCAAAGGAGCGATTCTACAGCAGTTAAACTTGCCTAAGTCGACTTCGCCTAACTTTAATAATAATTATAATAATAATAATAATAATAATAATAATAATAATAATAATAATCGATCTTATTTTACATGCCAAATTGTTGTTTCCATTAACAATCTGTAAGTCGTATTTTATTTAAATCGAAGAGTTTTCAATGCCTTCAGCAGGTTCAACTGTATTTGGAAAACTATTTGAATTAATTAATGTTGTATGTAGTTTAAATATATATAATTCCAAGAAAAGTGTTTACATTACCATACCTAAGTAATTAATAGGTCTATGCTGTAGTATGTAATGAGGATCACCTACTATAGTATAATTAAGTCATTGTGTGTATTTTTCCACTGAATAAACAAAACCAAATCTAGCGTCTCATTTTTTGGTTTCCGTTAATGTTTATATATAATATAGTGTGATTTTTTTTATATATTTGAGGCTATCCCATGACCTTTATTGTTTTAAATGTTAAATTGAACAGGGATTATGTTTGATAGACTTGGCTTTGCTATGGATCAAAAACAAATTATTTTTGTGGAAATTATTAATTCATTATTTGACACTCTAATATAGTGAGAGCTTATGAGTAGTGTCAATATTATTTATGTTCTCTTAACTGTTTCTTCTTAGGCTGATGGTGAAGATGAGTTGAAAAAACGTCAACTAGCCGAACTTGCAATAATCAATGGAACATACAGAGAAGGTGGACAAAAACCACCACAACCACCAACGATGCAACAGCCAACAAGTTAGTTTACTTTTTATTTACCCAGTTTTATTCAGTGTATTTATTATTCATAGTCATTTTTAAAAACATTTTACATAGAAATACAATTGCAATGGTTCTGCGCATAACTGAGCCATGTTATTTACCCAAACACTATCGAGTAAGATTTGCATAAGTTTTGGGTCGTCGTATTTCATGATGACCTGATGTGCCGTAAGATGTCATATAGTTAGTGTTGAAAATTGCATGTTATCTATATGGAATGGTTTGATATTTTACAGATACCGTCCTAATCATTAATAATAATTTAACAATTGGGAAACCAATATATACCCATGAAATGAAAGTTCAGTTGGGTCCACATATAATGAATATGATAGAAAATATATTTCTATATGAGGGAAGGAAAAATTACCAAAACTTACAGCAGAATTGATACGGCAGATTAATAGCACTGATAAACTAATTTTTTTTATAAGCATATGCAGTGGAAAGAAAAAAAATAACATTGCAACATCTCAATCTTAAACTGCACAAAATCATTATTAAGCAGAAAGATTATTAAAAATATGTGATTAGAAATTCTGCTCCATTTCTCATTTAAAATCGCATCTGACAATAATCCATAATTTTTATTAAACGAGCCAATTTGGTAAAATTTGAAAAATCGGCATATTAAATTAAATAGTAAGAAGATGCAATATTTTAAAAAAGCAGCTTTGAATTGTGTTGTAGTTTATAGTTGCATCTGTAAGATGTTGATGGCCTAGAATTCAATATTCAATCATTACTTAACACTTGTAAATCTATTTTCACTGTACTTTTAACATACCCTAGAGCATCCGATTATGATAATAAAAGAAACTAAAAAGCTGCAAATACATTAAATAATTATGGGTTCATTGTCCGTTATCTCCTTACACTGCAGTCTCAAATATTAATAATCACATTATCGCAAGTATTTATCAAGATTTTTTGTTTTTTCCTCTGGGTTTTTATTTTTAGCATATAGCTTTGCAGAGAGATTTCTTAGCCCTTTAAAATTGATTGTGATACATTTGGAAGCTTGGTTCATTTTTTCATTGATAAGCAACTTGAGCTTCCTAAATATGACTCACATATGCATATTCTATCCTATTAGGATCAACTTCCTACTCATACTAGTTGCTTGTGCTGCACTGTTTTTGAATTGATGCAAATGCAGTTGAGATCATTCCTATTCCCAGGAAGCTAGAAACCTGTCAAGGAACGAAATGAACTTTTTAAAGCATGAAATACGATCTGATTTTGAACTGGCGTGAAGATATTAACACCCCAGTGGGTAATTGCCAGAGAGACGTCATTCCAACAACAATTTTAGAAACGAATAACTTGCATTAATGTACATTTAATTGCTTTTTCAGTTTTCAGACAGGCTGCTCCTACTCTCCAACATGCTGCCACCATCAGGCCCCCAAATCATTCTTCAATGGCGCCCCCAGCGTATATCACACAAGCTCAGGCTATGTATTCAGCAGGGCTACAACGTCCAACGTTACTTACGAATGGTGCCATTCCCCCAACATTAGTGACCCCGCCACCAACAGAAGGCTCTCCAAGCGGTGTCACGTATATTCCAATGGATGGTGGGGCCTACCACTATGCCGTTCCTATTATCGACTATCCAGGCGTTGGTATCGACAGTGCAATTGGTATGTGTTTCTCAAAACAGCTACGTCGTTAAGAAATAAAAAAACAAAATGTGTGATGATGCAGATTTCAAGTACTCATAAATTGGCTAAGGACTATATTTTGAATGAATTTTGAATTATAAATGAGCTGAATGAATAGAGTTGAAAGACCTAGGAGAAGTAAGTCATGTGATACAGTTGAATAATGAATAATTCATGAGCTTAAACTGATTTAATGACTCAACTGTGCACTGTATTAGAGTTAGCAGACTCATGCCTAAGGTGCTAATTTTTTTTTTGTTTTTACATTATCTTAATCCATGTGCATTCTTCTTATATCAACAGCTAAAATGCACTTTCCTTTACTTGTGGGGAGTATGTAGCACTCCCGAAATCAGTTTGCCGATAGCTAATGAAAAACCAACTTCAGCTCAGATACATAATATGCACACTACCTCAATTATATATCAAAACAAACTATGTTTGTAGTGAGGCACCAAGATTTATAACTAATTTTTCAAAGTAAATGTTTACAGTTGTAAAGAATGTTTTGCTATTGAACAGTTATTGATGGGTGCAAGAATTCTGTCTTCCTCCGTGCCATTTAAAATAATTGTGGATGAAATAAATTGGTAGGAAGAAGCAACTTATAGAGAGCATTAGAAAATCGTAGGCATTTACATATGGCAGATTTTTTTTAACAAGGAATTTTTCTTCAGAGACTGAATATCTTTGAGCATTCCATATTTTCATTGCCAAGTCTGAAATGTATGCACTAAATGCACACAATTATGTATTTACCTAAGTGCAACAAGTTACCATTTAACAAGTAACAGAACCTTAGTAACAAAATTTCTTGCCATTGGTGATCATTCTAGAAATGTTGCATTTTAATTTTTTATTTATGCCAGCCAATTTTCTAATGCTCATGCAAAGTGTGGAATTAGGTGCAATGTTAAAAAAAAAGATAATTTTGTTTTGTTTATACAATAATTTGTAAAATGTTTTCAACTAACCATGTTACTTGGCCACCTTTAGGTGCTGCCCCCAAAATGAGAAGAGCTCCTACAATCAGGGACCACCCTTATCAAAGGGTCCTTGATCCACGAGGTTAGTTTGAATTATTTTTTTTCTCTCCAGAATTCCTAGTTTTTATTCCAACAGTTTTGTTGTTTTGTTTGATGTTTTTTTTTTTTTTTACTCAAGGTACTCTTCTCCATTTTTTTGGTCAAAATGTATTTGTTATGCTATTACAATGTTAATTGATTTATTTTATTTTATGGTTTTTTGCTTCAAATTGTTAATGATATCAATCTGGAGATTTTAAGGTGATTTTTAGAAATTCCCATTTTTGAAGCCAATGTGGCCTTTCTTAGTCAGCTGAATAAGATCATTCCTTATTTGGGTTTTACACCTTTCAATGCTATATGAAGTAGAGCAGGTCTGTCTGTCTGTTTTTCTTTCTATCTCTTCCCCCTCTTTTTCTCCTTGAGTTCTGTCACTGTATGTTCTCGTACATGTTAAATGTTTTGATTCCTTCGATGTTCTGCTATTGTCCTGTCCGTCAACACATGTTTTTGTTTATTTCTTGGACATATGCTTACTTCTGGACGAAGGGAATAAGGTAAACGCTCAACAAACATATACCCGAAAAATAAGTATGCATGGTACCATCATTACTCATGGAACTGATTAGTGTTATTAATTGTAAAGAGAGAAAGGATTAGACTTAAGTATGTGAAGATGCATTTGAGCTGGAGGACATAAAACTGCCATAAATTTAGCTTTTCCTTGAAACTATAAAGGTATATAAAATATTCTTAGCTAGGGTTTATTCCACATTAGAATGGCAAAACAGCATTATTATAGATCAGAATGGATGATAGTGCATTATGATGCAAGTTAATGCTTGGCGCATCCTTTAAAACTGTCTTCCCAATTGGTTGCTTTTTAATTGATGTACATGTACAGGGTAGTGTGTAGGGTCTCTTGTATGTTTACAAATTTACCAAAAAAGGGAGAATTAATAGATCATTCCAAAAATGTTGTTTTTTGTATTTTTGTTTAGAATATACCTTCCTTTTAACCCTTTTTAATTGAAGCATTAACACACTTTAAGTAAAATGTTTCAATTCGATGTGGGTCTAAATATCCTGAGCAAAGTTTATTAACCATCTCCAGTTGAACAACTCATTATCAAAAATGATTCCAACTCGATGCTTTGCCCTGATTGTAAATAACTTAATTCTAATTCAATTACTGTAATTCCAAATTGATAATTCAGGAATTCATCAATTCCCTAAATATATTTATTCCAGTGTAACAAATTGCAATGAAAACAGGAGAGAAATAAATGCAATAAAATTATACGATTAACCTACTAATTCAAAACAACCACCTTGATAAAAGAACATGTTAACAAATTGAAAACCTGTAGTTCATAATATGGAAAAATAAATCAATTAGTTGTTTTCATTCTCCTACTAAATCATAACATAATTAATACCTAAAGATGATTTATAGCATAATTGTCCACCACCCTAGAGCCAGTATAAATGTTTGTTTCCTCTCTGGAATATTTTTTTTGTCCACAATGGGATTTTGTTAAGATTGAATGGATCTTGATAATTATGCAATTGATATGAATGATAAGCTTATGCAAATTAGATAGATTAATTTTGTTAAAAATAATTGCACCATTTGCACATTTGTTTTTGTTTTTTTAACATTTATGTACAAAGAAACTGTGCCGCACTGTGATATTTAAATTTTTATACACATATTATACGGTATTCTTCGGGTAGAATAGTTAAATGAATTTAGGCTTAAATGTAGAAAAACTATTAAAAAATTTATGAGCCAGTATTACGGTGATTTTGAATGTAAATTAAGCTCTTTGTCGTGTAATAAAATTTTAAAATTCTGTTTCCATTTTAAGGCAAGGAAGAGCTGTCGTGCATTTTGTGTCAGTGGGTGTAACTTAGTTTTAAATAGTTTATTATCCATATGAATTCAATTCAATTAAGATATTTGCTTGCTAAGACGGAATTTTAAGGAAATTTTTATGTATATTTAGGTACTGATGCTGTTGTATTAAAAGAGCTTCCAGATTTAATTATTTGAGGATGAGCAAGCATTAATGATGTTGAATCTGTCCGAGTTAATTACATTGCCTTATTTGGAAGCATATTGCATTATTCATTGTGAAAATTTAAGTATGAAATCCTATGTTATAATTGTTATTGTGGTAATATGCAATTTGTGTGTTTTTATCAGGCATGGAGGGAGGAAAATTGTTTTTCTTAGATATGGTGGGTGAAGTAAATGCCATACTGTACCTAAATAGTCACGTGGTAGCAGTTTATAGAAATTTTAGCTTTGACTTCTGCAATATTAGTAGTAGCTTTAGATAGGCCTTTCTGAAACTTAAGTTTTTTTATGCAAATAAAGGCTATATTTTGTACTTTCAAAGGATTTTTTATCGCAATAAACAGTAGCACAAGATCTCCCGTGTCTGTCGTTTCTTTAAGTACGTAGGAATGCTTCTTTTAGTTTCATGTGGTAAAATCTTAACATATCACCTCAAATTACTTACTTGTAATCGTAGTTCACCGTAAAGGTGCTAAGGTGTTTTTCCCATTTTATTGTGATCTTAATTGTCTGTGTATTTTATGTATGAATCATTATGACTAACTTAGTTCAATGAGTTTAAGTAACTAACTTCATGAATCACTAACATTATCTACTGGGCAAGTGAATATGGTGAACTTGTGCTTGGCCGGTTGGCATCCAAATGCACAAATTATGCATTGTATTCCCGCATATCCATCAAATATTTGCATGTCCCGACTTTTTTGTTTATTATAATTTTAATTCTGTATTTCAAGTGATCTTGGTGAAAGTAATCTATTTGTTAATCCTAATCCAGCTTATCGCTTGAACACGGATAATCCCAATTTTTTAAAAGATAGTTTATAACGCCATATTTTTTCCATTTTTTTTTATCATGATTTATTAGCTTGATGTGTCATTGTTTTGTTAATGATCTTTTACTCATTAATTTTCTTAGTTTTAAAAGCTCAAGCAATAACTCTGCAGGAAATTTCTGCCATTCGCTAAAAAATATAATAAAGGCTTCATTCATATGCCATTTTCATTATTTTATTTTTTTACATTGTACCCCCTAAATTGTAAAACGAGGAATATAATTATATAGTGCATTTCTTTAAAAAATATCAAAATTTGTTTCTACAGTCAAATTCTATTATTGACCAATCAATTTTATATAAATTACTCGTTTATATCAATGTTGGAAACTTCTTTGGCTGAAAGCGACAGCCAAGCACGGTCATTTCCGCTTGCCAAAAGTAGATATAAAACAAATTTGATCATTGTGAAAAGTGATTCCAGAATTGTTGAAAAATGAATTGCAAAATTTCTAACTTTATTGATTTTGTTAATTAAAAAAAAAAAAAAAACTCCCCACTTTTATTATTGCCTCTGTGCATGCATTTTCAATGTACGTCTTGAGATGCTGGTACGAATAGTCACTAATACCAATCTTTTTTCTTTCTTCCATTTTGGATTAACCCAGCTGTCACTGGCAACTAGTAGTAACTAACTTAGCATCTGCACACAAGTACTCCTCTCCACGTTCATAATGTGTTGCGTTGCGTACAAGGCCTGCCAAAAAAATCGTGAGTGGACTTATTTCTCTCCACCCTACTACTTTTCACACCTCCTCGTACTTCTGTCATTGCTGATATTAATTTGGTGTGTATCAAGGCATCTCGAAATCCCGAGAGATTTTACTATGGAACAAAATGCTAACCACGCCCGCCAAATTATCTGCGGAAGGATTAACCAAGGTATTGTACGAGTTTGACCAACATGAAGCAGTAAAACCATTCACTTAGCAACTTAGATTTAGTATGTCTATGGTGCATTTACATCCAGTAATTGTAACTACGCAGCAAAAATCCAACTGATCATTACTAGTTTACCCAGTTTACTCCTAATTTATATTGCACGTATGTTGTGCTAAGTAATAATGATATTAATACATCTGTTAGTTTACTAGTGGTGGTGATGTTGGATTTTTTGTGTGTAGGTCTTTGCTTTCTCCATTAAAAATCATTTCTCTTGTGTTTTGTCTTGATTTTACTCCTTTTTAGTTGCACACACTATTGTTCCATGTTTAATTTTGCTCTATTAATATCTAAAATAAAAATGTTTAATGTCATTCATACCTGACATTGCCTTATAATACTAGTCATTATTTTGTGTTAGCTTTGAAGGTTTTTAGAGTCAAATAGACAAAAACTTTTCTCATGAAACTTGATGCTCAACCGCGTTGGCAGTTTTCGTTAAGTATTGAGCTCTGTAAAACAAGGTTGATGTGGAACAGCCTGAGTGTTATTAAAAAGATCTGTGTTGCCTTGCATACAATAATGTATTGATAAAAAATTAAAATCTTCTGTTGGCCTTTTATTGTTATTGCTAGGAGGCTGTGTTACCTTCAACATTGTTATATGGAGATTGGATGAGATTTATATTTATGTTGAGGTTTTTTTTTTTTGTTGTTGATGCATGTCTGATGCAACAAGATTTGGGATGCATGAGGATACTCATTTCAATATATCTTGTTGTGCATGGAAAAGGTATTTGTTGTATGTATTTCTGAGGTAAGAATGTATAACATTGTTCTCTCCCAAGGAGAAATCCTTTCTGCACAGTTATTATTTCATTAATCAAATCAATTTTCAGATGATTTAAAAAAATTTGTTTTAATTTTTCCTTCAAATATGGCTAAAATTCTGCTAATTATATACTCAAAAAAATTATTTACTACCAACTCATGTTTTTTTACCATTGTAACCTACCTATACACAACTAATGAATATGCATTCCCACCTCATGAAATAACGAGCAATTAAATGAATTGTATTAATAATGTATTTAGTTTACATGTTAATTGGTACATTGATTGTAATTGCTTTAATATGAAAGTGTTGCTCACAAATCTACAATGCACTAATGTGAAATTACTATTAGAACTACTTTCTTTGGACCTTGTATTTTGCTGTAGTTCCTAATACTTGTCATATATGTACTGATGCTAAACAATTTGCTTGGTATAATTTTGTTATGTTTTATACCATCACTGGCCTGCATTCTATGTTGGCTAAAAAGTATTCACTTTAATTAACACTATCTAAGTTGCAAGTATATACTTTACTGCAAAATGGGTATTAAGTGATTTGGAACTGTCAAATATGTATAGGTTTGTTTAAAAGCATAAATAATCTAAATTGCGGTCAATCTCGTCTGGAGCTACAATATCGGTGGTCTCGGTGCATTTTTATATTAATACTATACAAATGGCATGCTTGTGATTTACATCATAAAACATCCTCCCCAAAAAATAAATTCTAATTAAAGCATGAATGGTGAAACACACACTGCTCTATATGTGGCATGATCATTTTAGCTCTATGAATTTCTATGACTGCTTAATAAACCTAGACCTCCATCAATATGGTGGCTGCTTAATGAGCCTAAGCCTCCATTACAGTGACTGTTTAATGAGCCTAGGCCTCCTTCACATTATAAAAACACTAGAGCAATAAGCCTTTGCGGCACCCTTATGATCTTCCTTGGAGCACTAAACCCTCTCACGTTTCTATTAAACAGTAATTATCCTAGAATGTAACTTCCTACATACTTAAAAAAGTAAAAGAAATAAAAATATTTTATAAATAAAATATATAGCAATAATAGCCATATAACATATATGACAGTGTTTCCACCAACAAATTGTGATGATGACGATGATGATGATGAATAATGGTCAAGCCCAAATGGTTTGCTATGCATCGACAACAAAAGAGGAGCGTTGTATTTAAGATACAGCTAATGATCTCAGGGGACACAGTATATAAGCATACGTTACCTGAACGCACATGTACGTACGACGACAAAACAAATCTATAAAATTACTTCCCACTTGCACCGTGCTTCCACATGTACAAAGATGTTGGTGTAATAGGAGTGCTCATATTAATTAAAACAATAATGCATTAATACATAATAAAATTAAAAAGTGAATGCTACTTAAACAAATTTGAAGAATAAATATTGGTTTTGGTCACAATTTGTTCGGGTAAAGAATAAGCAAATAAGTACAATATTCGAGAATCGAACAAAAGGGGATGGGGAATTGTTTGTTTTTGTACCAACAATGTATTATATCTTATGCATTATTGCTGGTGTCTTGCCAAGACAAAGGGGGGATAGAATATTTAAAAATTTCAAAAAGATCTATGTTATTTGAGATGATGTGTAGAGGCTTTGCTTTTGTTCAACATTAAAAACTTGCGTTTTTAGAAGAATTTATTGGTTTCTGTAATGAATGCTGCAGATTGCCGTGTTCAAATATCCAAATTGTATTCTAAAAAAATATTTAAAAAAAGAAAAAAAAAGAAAAGAGAAAATTGTTTGAAAGAAGTCTTCTGGATCCTTCCTTTTTAATGGAGTTATCCTAGACGGTGTACCCCATAACTTTGTATACATTTTTTGTAAATAGATAACACAGGGTTTTTACCAAATAAGTAATGTGTTTAATTAGTTGTATTACAAATATATGCAAATTACACAAATTCCTGTGTTGTTTGTAGTTATAATTTCCAAAATCTGAATAGAATAAAACTTTTGAGGTATGCAAAATATCTTATGCAAGCACAAATCTTTGTTTTTATCATTATATTCGGATTAATTGAAAAGTTTGATATAGTAAAACATCAGATTTCTTGAAATGAGAATTATAAATATATTGAAGTATTTCCATGGAATTCCAAAATTTGTTTTGGTTGATTCAAAAGGAAGTATGAATGAAAAATTATCAAACTTGCAGGTAGAAGAAAAAAAAAGCATTTATCATTATTCAGTATTATTTAATTAACTATATATATTTTTACCCTTAATAATTGTCGTATGTTTTTGGTACTTCTCCATTTGTATTTATTTTACCTATGTACCTCGCTATACTTAAGCATGTGATTTTGTCGAGTAGTTGAACAAATGCCATAAGTATCAACTAAAAAAATCTCAATTTTAAAAAAACAATTTAAGCCTTATATCCTAATTTACTGATAAATATACACATCAATTTCAGCTAATTATCAATTATCAAAAGCGACTTTTGCTTTAATGCTTTAATTGAAAAATGAATTGCATAAATTTGGAAACATTGTATTATTTGAAGATGTTATTTTTAATTTTAATTTCAATTTTTTGATAGGCATAAAACCCCATGTTTCTTTTTCCCCTTATACTTTTCGGAACACCCTTTTTTTCACAATGTCAAGCACAAAAAATCCTGCTGAAATCCAAACAATGTGATAATGTGGGGTTCTAGGGCTGGCCAAGGGCTAAAAGCAAGTATGTAAGCCTATGTGAATCTTTGTGAAAGAAAAGCGAAGCGGTTAAAATATAGAAGGAAACATGGTGGTTTACTTGGCCTAAAATATATTGCCTGTACTAATAAGTAGAAAAGTATTTCTATGTTTTTGTGCGACAAGTTCATTATGCGTGATTGTCTAAAAGACAAACTGGAAAACAACAATAATGAAACAGAACATTGTTGAATGTCAGATAATGTTGAAATGTTTTAATGTAAGATTATCATTTTAGGTGCTATAGTTTCTACAGGTGTGAACACATGCAATAAAAACCGGTAAATGGGTATTTAAAAACACATCTTATGGTTCTGATATAATAATTATATAAAATCCTTATAATTATAGTAAAGTATATCTGTAACCATTACATTAACTTGGTTGAATGTTCTGTTAACATTTATAGCACAATATCTCATTAATGTTTATTTTTAAGCTATGCATAATTTAAGTATTTTTATTTTTGAGGGTCAGAACAAATGTAGGTTTGCCAATTCACCTGTTCATATTAATTTGTATAATCTTTGTAAACTTAAGCAAGTGGTATAATACAATTATTTTTATATGACTAGTATTGTGGTTTTCTAGTTCAGTTGTGTAGTTAACTATTTGCTAGTCAATGTAGAAGTTTGTTTGGTTTTGGTAGCATTTATAAACTTAGCGTAGACTTTAAGAGAAAAAAAAAAGATGAAATTATGCCAATTAGAAATAATGTATAAAGACAACATAGTTTGGTTACTTAACATTGCATGTTAATATGGGGCATTGTTAATTAATTAATTGTTAAAATTGTTAATTGTTAACATTGCATGTTAATATGGGGCATTGTTGAATTATAATTATGAATGTTCACATCACCTTAACAACATCTATACTCTATCTCTACTCTTCACTGAGTGTCGCTTTAGACACCAAACTGGTTTTAATTAATACTGGGCCTAACGTCCTTTAAATGTAAACCCAGTCATAACAAATTCCATTATGTTCTAGGGTTGATTAATATACCTTAATCATAATAACATCTTTAATCCTAAACAGCACATTAATGTTAAAGAAAATATGGTTGTAAACTTTGACCTCAATATGCATGAGTACCTAAAATGCTTGGTAATAATCTAATGCCCCAATTGTAAAAAGATGGAGATCAGTAAGAATGATAGCTTATCAAGGTAAGGTATATCGATAGGTTCATGTTAAATGTTCCTTTCTTTCAGCTATGCAAATTCTTATCTTTAGTGGGTATCATTCTTAAAGTCAATGGTGTTCAAAATAAACTTTGGTTTAAGTTGGATACCATTGGTAGTGGCAGTACAGATATGCATGTCTGTCTGACGAATATACCAACAGTGATACATAGTATATATACAAAAGTGAAGTAAATATTTTACATTTACTCACTTATAGGTAATTTTCGTCATCACTAATCTTTACCCATTTGATTTTTCATTTTTGTTTTTGATATATTAACTGAATAAACAGTTGCAGCATTTAACATTTTGACTACTTTGCTTATTGGTGTATGAATTTAATTTACAAAATCACACTAAAACCCCTATTTGACGACACACTGCCTAACTCCACAACCCAAAATAATGCATTTGTGACTTCATTAATATTAACCAAGTTAAAACCTGTTAAAAATGAAAAACACCTTAACATCTATAATAATTACTAGGTGCTATAAGCTATGTGCTAGCGTATTGAGCTGGACAGTGGATCCATCATTTTTCCATTTACTAAAGTGCTGTGAAAATATGCTATACATGTACATGGTACAAGATGCAGGTAACTGGTTGGATTAATTGTGAAAAGAGAGGCAAATACCACCCACATAATAGTGAAGATATTCTATACCTATTCTATGATGATGGAGGTTTTGCCTTCAGTTTTTTTTACCATTATTTTCTCACACATTATGGACACTGGTTTCCGCCTGCATTCTCTACCCCATGTTCTTTCTTTATTGGATGATATGAAGAATTTTAAACTTCTAATCAGCTGCTGATTTTATTGGCCATATACTTTTTATTTATTTACCCTCAAAAGATTGAAGAAACGCATTCCTACATCGCAAAAAGAAATAGCACAATTTTCAAATTACCTCTTGAGACAATGGAGACGGCTTGTTCTAAGGTTGACTTTTCTGAATGAAGTTAATGTGATTGCTGTCTTTAAAGTAAAAAAAAAAAAAAAAAAATTGGCGGAGCACTGTAGCTTTAAAAGCTTAACCTGGTCAAGGCACCTGTTTCCGTCTCAAAAAATAATCTTAACAAACATGTTCGTACAATCATTTGACTGTTTGTGTATGACTAGTACGTGGGACTGCATGCATATCAACCTTTCAACAAAGAGTGAATTTCTAACCACTTTTACTTGCTTTTTGGAAGAACTGAAGCCAAATTTATTTCACTTTTCACTACACAGGAAGTTTCCTAATCGAAGGTTGTACTTAGGAAGTGCAGTGCTTGTCAGCATAATTCATAATGCCACGTTCCTGTTCGCAGCTATGAAATATAGAACACACTAGAATTTCGGGTCCTTTAATAATTTGTTTCAATTGCATTCCTCGTTCTATTTAATAATGTAAATTTGATATGCGCCTTATTCTGAAAACACTATTATATTCACTTATATAATCTATACATTTATATATTCTATATACAGTTATATTTTTTGTAAACAATTTTACAATGCTACTAAAGCTAATATTTCTTTATTTAAACCTTGTTTATTGTATTTATACTTACAACATTAATAGACGTCGATCACTGGTTACCTTTGACACGCCACTAAATTTGCGCTTTGCTATGTTTAAAAATTAGATAATACATTTTAACTTAACCATGCCGTCTATATATGCGCAAAATAATAATGCCCAGCAGTCATTGCACGCGTCATTCTAACAGAAACCGTAGTTTTATATTTTGAAATTTCTTGGGTGGAACAAATATTGGCGACGTGTGTTGAGAGTTCTGAATGGGGATGATGATGGTGGCGTCGATGACACAGTGTGTTATTAGGAACCAGACAGAACTGTTAATCGTGTTATTCACTAGTTGATAATTATGCATGCATGCAATGCCCGTCATGTTATGTTTACCTAACTGATAATGAACATCGTTTACAGTAGCCTTAAAAATTAAGAATGTCTTGAGATTCTGTAGGTTATTTGTAAACACCCCACATAATGTGCTATAATTTCATATGTTTATTGTGCAAAACAAATATTAATGCACGTAAAAATGAAAATATATATTTCTCCACAAAATTGCCTTTAGGATAATTTGCTCTATATCTTTGAACCTTATTCAGGCTAACTTATATTAAATTTCAAAGTGAACCCTAACCTTTCACCCCTGTTCTGCCCTCTGTAATCACCAATGATATCTCAGAATTCTCGGAATGCTACTAATAATGTCTTGATTTTCTTATGTGTTTTTTTGTAACACATTAATAATGTGTTTTGACGCAGTAATGCACCCAAACGTATTAACCTTTCAAGGTTTTAATATAAGTTTTGCAATCATTACACATTTCATAGATTAAAAAATTGTCAGAAATATCTAAACATTATTAATTACTCATTAACACTAACAAGTGCAATAAACATGTTCAGTATTATTAGCATTGCTGTACTTTATGTTTTAATAATTACAATTGAACATTTTTAAATGGTGTTCTCAATTTTTATATATTTAAGATAAAATTTTGATAATGGAAATAGTTTATACCATAAACCGAAAAGAGTTGTTCTTTTGTGAGGTGATGTTAGTATCGCATCCTCACAAAAACCAAATAAATACCTGTGAATACTGGCCATTATATTATTTGGCATTTTTTATATATTAAAGAAATCTAGATGTGTATAAGAGACAGAATCTGTTCTATAACTACTCGTGTCATTACACTTGTACATACATGATGTTATTATAATATAATTGGATATGAATTATGGCAGAAATACAGATTTGAATTAATTTATTTTAGCCAAAATTGATTTTCACATGACTTGAGTAGAGTACCTTCAACTTTTTTGTGGCTACAAGTTTATTCAGCCTAAGGAATGCAGACCTAAATATCAATTTATTTTACATAAAAAATAGAACTACTGTGAATACAAAAATAATAAATATCCGAAATAGTGTACTGAGGATGGAGGTACCTCTTTTGCAATGATTACAATATTAAGTGGTAAATGCTTAAAGTGACCATTAAAGCTGGGGATCAACTGTTGCTTAATGCACTGACAGTATCCATGGACAGAACCCTGATGGATTTCGGGAATGCCCGTGAAGCTAGGCTATTGGCGTTTGGATAGAGTATCCTTTTAACTAGCCTAACATTTAATCACCTAAACGTATCAATCCAATGTTGCCGTTACATAATAAACATGCACAAAATTGGGTGCCAAAGAAACTCTGACCCCTGAAATTCTAGTTTCTAGATCTAGAAAACTAAATTAAATTATTAGACTGTACCATTATATTTAGAGGGAAGTAAAAGTACAGATCTAACAGATCTAAATATCTAGTGCTGGTTTTTAGACCATTCCATTATTTTTATACGGGGTTTTAAACAAAAGAGAGGGTTTATTCATATATAGCTGAACCTTTTTGACGATGCCTTAATAATACTGTGTACTGCATTATTTTTAGAGATAAGCTACTGGAAACTCCCAACATTTTAGGTAGGCCTATTATGTAACCCAGTTTTACTTATAACATGCTTTTAAACTTCAGTATTGGTATGGTCTAATAATTTAAAGATCTGAGTTTTTGTTAGATCTAGAATTCAGATCGACAATGTACATCTGTACAAGTAAACCTATATTTCAAAATTCCTGTTTTAGTTGAAACTCCCCTCTAAATATAATGGTATTTGGTCTACTAATTTAAAGAAAACTAGAAAACTCAAATCGGAGTTTTCTAGGACTAGAAATCTCGGATCAGAGATCTGAGTTTTCTAGATACCCCACTAACAAGAAAAATATACGCAGATTGTCCGTTTCATTAAATTCACTCACTATATATGACATTTGTAGAAGGAACCCATAAAGTCCCCAGAAATCTTCACTGGGATGTGGTGGTGGAAAATTGGGAGTGAAAATAGAGAGGAAGTTGATGCAGGTGAGAGGGATTAGTATGAAAAAGTGTTATGTGCTGTTGCCTTGTGTTGTGATTTATGCAGTTAAATCAGTCTCTTATGATGTTATGACATAGTACCTTCCTGTTATAACAGATGTGCAATGTCAATCGAATAAACATGAAAATGAACAAAAAAAGTAAATGAAATGCTTCCTCCTTTTAATTTCAACTAAAAAATAATTTTTTTTAAAATTCTTTGTTAAATCTTTTGACAATAAACAGAAACTATAAAGTTGGTAGGTCACATCCGAAGATGTGCCCATCCAAAACCTAGTATATTATTTATAAAGCATCAGTGGCGTATCGTGGGTGAGAATCAAAGGCGAATAAGACATAAGAAAACGGCACAAAATAAAATAAAAATCGGAAATTCCATCAAAAACGCAACGTGAAAAAGCAAAGCCAAAGTCAACATTGAGACAGAATAGATACCATCGGACGCTACGCTACTTCTTATTTATACACGTTAATTAATTCCATGTAATTTAATTGGGGTTGTAATGAAAAATGAACTTGGAGAATGGTCTGAGGCCAATGTGATGATGATGACGCTGGTGATGACGACGATGAGGGTGAAGTTGCTGACGATACGATGACGTTAAAAATAACGTTGGTGACAATGATGGTATCAAATCGACGTTTTAGAACATATTCCGTCTTGTGCCCGCGGTGATATTTGTGGTCTGCACAGTGGCGTATCTAGAAGTCTTGAAATGAGGGCTGGGAGGTTGCGAGTAACTGTTAAGGGGCGTTTCCTCCCCCCCCCCTGTGCATACACCTATGTACGCCGCTGGGTGTGCGAAAGTGATCAGTACCGGTTTACGAGAGGTATCATTGACGTACTGGATGTAGGCCTACATTATTGTGATGCCGAAGTCCTTGATATATCTCATACAAAGGCTTATTTAACAAAGGAGGTACAGGTGCTTCATCAGGCTCTCTCTCTCTCTCTCTCTCTCTCTCTCTCTCTCTGGGCCAATACGGCTTATAAAGCCATGAGCCTTACAACGGTGCTTCGCCAGTTTTCCCTATTATAATCATCATGCGTGAGTGTGTTTAAAGTTTTATCTATGGGTTTCAGATCAGTATTTATTTGTTTCAGCCATGTGTGTTTTGGTCGACCTTTGTTTCCTTTTGCTTTTCTTAGTTGTTCATTTAGTGCGATTTTGCTGGTACATTTTCTGGTAGTAGATGGTCAGGCTCTACTTCTATTTTTAAAAAAACAAAAAACAAAACCTCATACCTCCTTTTTAACATTCATCGAGGGACTAACACTTCACTGAGGGAGTAATACCGAGACAGGAAAGGGAATGCCATAAAATAAATATCAGAAAACATCGATTATTCTGTGTTTCAGATTCAGATTTCAGATTCATATTTATTCACACAATGCATACAGGTGGAAACAAGACAAAAATAATATAGATGCAAACAAAATAAAATGCAATGTGTCTGCATCGATAACTGGATAAATAGTAAAACACAGGCGGCGGTTTGTTAGTGTCTTTTCCGGAAAAACTTGATTATTTTTTTCAAACATTCTCAATACGTTTGCAGGTCTAACCTTAATTTTTAAAGGAAGGGGTACCTAGATTTAGTTCGAAACCAAAGGTTGGGTGCCAAACGTATACAACTGACTAATGAAAGAACACGCACATGTCCCACAAATTTATGATGATTATGCTGTTTGTGGAGAAACATACCAAAGGGAGATTATTCGTTTGCAACTTATTTATGAGCTTGAATTTTACGGGTTTTGTTTCAGATTTTATGGTAGGAGATACTTCTAGCCTCTGTGCATAAGGCATACGAACGTACTTTTTATTGTGTTATAACCAAATTTTAACGGCATGTCTTTGGTTTAACATTGGTTTAGAGAAGGAAAATAACCCATGTTTCCGTCATAATCGGAAATAGGCCTATTAAGAAATTTGCCCATAGTGTCACGATATAGTGTTGTACCTTTTCCCACCAGAAGTAAACTTTCAAAATGTGTCAAAGTTCATAGCCAAAATTTTCATAATTTTCGGAAAAAAGATTTTTAAAAATTAAT